TTTAGCTTAATAGTATATTTATTTAGTTTAATATAAATTTTTAAAAAGTGTCTACAATAATATGGTAGGTAGCTGTATCTTTACCTCCAGAAGTGCTAACCAATTATCAACTAATACAGCATCATAGCATATTGACTGGGCCATTTGATCTTGTTGTTTCTGAAGTATTTGTAGTGTGAGACATTCTTTCAACATCTTATCTAACTTAGGAAAGTATTTGTCCATTATAGTTGGTATACCTTTTGTTGGTATTTTATTTTTGCACTCAGCTAATACAGCCTTTTTTGATTGTTGATCAAATATTGTTTGAATCTCTCTAATAACATCTATTAGTCGTGAAGTTCTGCTAAGCCTATCTTTGATAATTTTGTTAGTTACTTTGGCTCACTAAGTACTCTGAATTTTTGCGATAAAATATCAATTTATGGTATAACTTGCCTAACTCATCTACAGAGGTATAAAACATTTATAAGATAATTTTTATATGCTGAATATTCATTAATAAGGTCTTCCTATTTTGATTCAAATTGCTTATAGCATAAAGTGTTATGCATCTCCAAAAACCTAGTACGAAAAGCACTAAATTGTTCATATAATATACTCTTAAGCTTCTTTTGCAAATTTAAATCAATATAGAAGATACAATGAAGATGTCGTATATCTGGATAGGTCTTTCAAACAACTGATAGTAAAGCAGGATCAGCATCAGAATATAGCACTATATGTGTAATTTCACATGAATTTTTTAGCTCTTGCAAAATCCAAGCAAATGTTGATTCAGTTTCATCTTTAATAATTGCTGACGCTATAATCAATTTCTGAAATTGTTATCAACTACTATAATTAGCATTAATATCATGTCAAACTGGTTGGTTTTAGATGTTGTGTTTATAACTACAATATCATGATATCATTTATAAGCACTAGTTTGATTAGGAGCCATCCAAAACAATAAGTTAAGTTATTTTTCCTCTAAATCAAATATGGTTTAACTATTCACATTAAAACTTTTTCTTTTTTTGAATATAAGTTATTAAGCATTCTATATGCATCATTTTTACTAGGTTTCACCTGATATTTAAAGTGCTGAATTGCATTATTTAAATCCTTCTTATTAATAACTTGACTCAAAAATAACTTAACTAACAAATTATATTGGGTTGCTAAGTCTAATTTTCCATAAATAGTCCAAAATTTGATTTGTTTAGACATTTTATATGTTAACTTTCGATATTTCAGTGTCATTTCAGTAACAAGAGGACAGATACAGCATCTAATATAGAACCTAGTAATAGGCAAACTATTTAAATTAGGTGCTCAGTTCATTTCGTGATTGTGTTCACCTAAAATACTGTTAATACGAACATGTTTCCTTATTTTAAAAA